GTTATACTTCCGGTGACACCTTTTGTCACTCGTCCGGCGAGGATGTTCAATAATGTCGTCTTACCACTCCCCGATTGACCCATGACAGCCATAAGACCTGTAAAGCAATACATATCGATGCTTAATATTGCATCTTACCCGATTCGTCCACTCGGCAGCTCCCAACCAAATCAAGAATACAAAATCCATACTTGGGTTAGCACATCCGTGAATATTTTCGATAATAGTTTTGTAGTTTTGTTCTGATTTTTCCACATCTGACGGCTGGTTTTGTGTGCTTGTCCGGAATTTTCTCCACCACGGCTTTATATCTTGGGGCTTTTCAGGAATACGATAATTGAGACCATGAAATTCTACAAAGACAGCATTATTTGCTGACGATCCTTGAGCGGTGTTTTGGATCAGTTGCGAACGTCGTATCGTTCGGTCATCCATTGTTGCATCATTACTTGCTTTTGAAGTCGAGTCCTGTAAGAGAACATATGTTAGCCAGTAACAGACTTTATGAAAAGGAAAAGACTTGCAAGGCAACATACGTGTGTCATTATATTTATACAATTATCAATTAAATGTCGCTTTTAAGAGTTCTAGTTATACTTTTATTGTCTCTCCTTTCCTTTCCCCCTCTTTATATACAGTTTGCGTTCGTGCATCGTATCTTCAATATCGATTACACATAATCGAACCAAAGCCTGATTCGAACTGGATGACAATTTGGGTTCACAAATATAATTAATTTATATTAAGACACATTGATCCAGGAAAATCTTTTAAGCATATCTGATATACAAATTTGGGGCTTGTCCGCATAATAATATTTAAAACAGAAGCAAGGCTACATTGTATAGGTGTACATATCGTCCATTCCTGTTTCGGTAAAATATCTTACCGAATGCTGCGATTGGAGGAAACGCATTGTTGTTGCATGGTCGCATTATTCCATTCGGTTGGTTGCTGCGCTTATTGATCCATCATCATGAGACTGGTGATCATCGGTCATAACCGACCGGTTGACATCATATTATATTGCTGTCGATTGTTTGTTCTTCCGTTTTTGTGTAATCATAGATCGAAAAAAAAAAATCTATAAGTTTCCTAATGGGTCACCCAACCCGGTTAGCTGGATGATACATATTATTAATATTGCCACTGGCTGACAGCATATCATATTTGCAACACGGTCCCGTAATTTCCAGAGAACTAATTGTGATGACAAATACCTCCCGCAGTATTTGTAGATTATCTTTGTTGCATCAGTCTAATAGAATATGGTAAAATGGCCCGCAGTCGTTATGCCGATAATATGATGATTGTATTTCTTGACATTTGATCAGGATTCCTCAACAATATGTTGTTATTATCGCATACATTGAAGGAACTCGTTCTAAGATGATCCTCAACGATTTGTTCAACAGACAATTGTTGACATATTAATAATAGACACACTGTAAATGAATTAATGTGTAGATACTTTATTATTCAACAACGTGGTATTTAAATCGCCTTTTAGCCCTACTTCTTCAGAGTACAAGAGAAAGTATGGAGTGCGCAAAAGGTATACAGCTTGGGCGTTGATGAAGATCGGATGACGTCTTTATTAATGGAGATCGTACGCGGAACTGACAAACAGAGTAATAATGTGAGTGATCTTTTTTATAGAATATGGTTAAAAGGATGGCCAAATCACTATGTTCTTGCTTTTTCTGCAACAACTATAGTTCTTCAGCAAAAGAGCAAGCATTAGCATACACGTTAACTTTTAGTGAGCTCACGAAAAAGTAAGATAATCTCTTGCCAAGAGCCAACCAGGGAAAAAATTATGGATTATATAATAACAACTTATTATTCTGATTACAAATGGTCACGCTGCATTCTGTCCTTTTGGACCAGTTGTATACACATGCAAACTCGATAAGTCGGTCCACCATGCATGACCGACTTATCGATTTGCATGTGTATTGTGACAATAAGCATATATATTATATTGTAATGCATGGTTGCAGTAAATATTTGATTTTAGTTATAATGTAAGTATAA